GGGATAATTATACCTCCTAGAGCCCTCCCCATCTCCCACCATCTCTCTCTTCTTGATTTCCGCCCACTTCCCTCTGTCTCCCTCGCCCTTTCCAGGCAGCCAGGCAAGTACGCGATTCTAATCATAGTTCTGGTCTGCAAAAAGGTGTAGAAATAGGTATGGAAATAGCTGTACGCAAAAAAGCACATAAACCATGGGCTCTTGTTCCGATTTTGGTTTCGGATTATGGAACCAAGGCGTCTATGTGCTACTGACCTTTTCCCTATGAGAGATGGACAGTTCTTTCCCTTTTTGGTAGCGGGGGCTGCTCATGCTTTATGGCTCGGTGCTCCTACAGTGCAGGATCAGGAGGTTTTGAGGGGTTTTAGGGTACGCTTGCCAGCCATTCAGCACATAACCTGCTAAATAAGCACAGTGTGCCCCTAGCCTTCCCACTCCAGTCCTCATTCCTGCCATACTTGAGAGGTATCTTGAGAAATCTCTTTCCAAAGTGTGAAAACCCAAGTTAAATTAGATGATCAGACCTCTTCTGGCATCTTTCAGCGGGCCAAGAGCACTCTGTAAGAAGCCCCTTTGATCGTAGCTCGCTCTGTGTATCTTTACAGCTTATCTCGAACAGTGCATTATTTGTTCTTGACGATTAGATTGACTTAGACGTGGACTGTTCCCATCGAGGAGATCTAGAGCGCAGCGCTCGTATAACATCAATCTTCACCCAGCATCAAATCCAACTATATTGCTCTGGCAATTCAGCTTCGTACGCAGCGCCTGTGCTAGCTCTAGTATCCTTCACCTTCAGAGATAGATTCTGATGCCTTCCAGAAGAGCTGAAGCTACCAGGGTGTTGTCTAGGCCAAGAAATGGCTGGAAAAGATTCTCATTGTCACCTCTCCAGAGGGTTAAATCTCTCTATTCACTTCAAAATTCTCCACTCGTCTGTTACACATGTTGCGAGTCAGGTGTACAAGAGTTCATAGCCTGCTCTTCTCATTCTTGGTAGTCAAACGTCCCTTGTGGCGCTTTGTTGTGGTTCTATTGGGCATACAAAAAGCTAATGTTCATGCTGGGCGGTTATTATCGGAAACAGTTCCGCATATAACATGGGTACTGCAGTGAACGTAAAATCCAAACATTATAGGATTCATCAGTAAGAGAAAATTAAATGAAATATCTTATTTAGGGAACTATGTAGCAAGATATATAACTCTATGAATTCTGTGAAGATGTGCCTATTTGCAATGTGTAATACCACGAAGCAAGAGTCTAGTTATCTGCTTTGGTTTGTGAAGTAACTGATAGAGCTTAGACTACATGTGTGCAACCATTTGTTTTTCCGCTTCTCGCTTCTTGGAGAAGCGGAACTTTCCTACATTGCCTATTTAGGAAACTCCGCACCAAAATACTTAATTCCGTGACAATACACCTAACTGGAGAGGGTAGCACTAGGCGAAGGATGCCTACCCAAAGGAGCTTAGACTACTACACAACGTTTGCAAGATTTTCTTCACCAGTGTGCCGCTTCCTGGAGAAGTGGAATCTTCTATTGCCTATCTGAAAACCCCGTCTCCCAAACACTGTGACCTTGTGAAGGTAGATCTAACTGTAAAGGGTAATACAATGGACTACGAGCCATATTATCAGCTCTGTGAATTACCCCAAGTAGCTTAGGCTATCTTACAGCGATTGCAACCTTCTGTTCACTAGCTTTTCGTTGTGCTCCGAGCCTTGCCGCGTCAAGCGGCTAATCTTTCTTGTCCAATCTTCATGCCGCTTTTGAAAAAAGCAGGGCAAAAAACCCCACCAACTCTCATTCATGACGAGTTTGACTAGATTGCATCTCACCTCAGGCATTGCACCTCGCAAGGTTCCACTAGCGCCAATTCCAACTTCCACCATCCATAAATTCCCTCCAGTCTGTCCCTGCTCCTCCCTTCCTCCAAATCTCTCCACACTCTACAACATCCTCCTCTCTCACACACACTTCCTTCCATCTTTTCACACTACTACCTGTCGACCTTCTTGCTTATCCAGCATCTACTTTGACGTTGGATCTTCCTTACACAACTCCCACTACCCCTCCGCTGCAGTCTGCGCGAAGTTCTGTTCGCTGCAACCGTCCCATCGCTCTTTCGCAAGCCTTCCAGCGATCTTCGTGAGGTGCCCTCGCGCCTTCAACACCACTACCCGTAAATGTGAGCTCAATCCAGCACCCTCCTTGGATACTCCTCGGACTGAATATCCTCGCAGTGATATCGCCGCACCCAACGAGTCTCTACTCTTTCGAGCCATCGCTCTGGTAAGCTCGGCTGCTCTCTTCAGTTCCTCATCACGATATATCAAAGTACCCTATCCCTACAACCTATCATCTCGCGTTGATCTCTCTTCCTCCTCCCAAACTCCTCACTGCTCAGTGACAGGTCCGAGGAAGGTCGAGGTCGCTTCTATCTTCATCCTTCTCTTGCTGTTCTACCTCGAGTTTCAACTCTATATCTACTTACTTGCCTCTTTCCATGGACCTTCTCCTATAGTCCCACCACCACCTGTCACCCTATACACCTTGATCTTACTTCTGTCTCTTTTCAGTCAACCAATCATTAATTTGAGCTATTATCTTTCATCACTGTTCTATTACTTCACTCATTACATCTTTATATTACCTCTCTCCATCACTGTCACATGCCATCACAATATCCTTCACTCTCATATTTTTACTTCATCTCGACCTTTCTATCTCTAGCATGATATGTCATCAAGTTGCTTTGTCATCTCTTCATCACTTCATAGTATTATGTGATGTGGACTTGACTTGGCCTAAACGATATCATGTACTTTCATTGCACCAGTTGCTCTACCACACATTATCCTCTATGTTTCTTCAAAATCCTTCATAGGGATTGTCATCACATCAATTGATGTCGTCTTCATCGCTTGATAGTGTCATGGGATGTTGACTTGTTGCCGCCATCAACTTCTATTGTCATCAGCATCCTCCTTGATCGTCAATGTCATGACATAGGTTAGTGTTGTCATCATCGCTCGATAGCCTCTTGTGATGTTGACCCACTGTTGTCATCTTACCTCACCCTAACACTTCAACATCTCTTGCACCATGACACACATGCACAATACATACTTGGTTCAAGTCCAATACTCTTCAACAGACTTACAGTTACTGTGGTCTTGTAGAGATAAAGCTGCCATTGCCTTTTTCTTCTGCGTCCTCCATACTGTTATATCTTTGCTGCGTTCATCTACAGTCGCCGTCTTTCATCTTAATAGTCTGGAAACGTTTACCGTATGCTTGTATCGGTCATCAGGGTATACATCTCTTTCCTTACCCGCTGCATTTCTTGAATTTCTACAAGACCTGAAGGTTCCTCTTCTCTCATATTCCTCAAACTTGATATATGAATGATTCTTGACGACCTTTTGCACAGCCTTTTGATGTACATCATTCATGTTACTTCTTGAGTTTTCTACTCTATCATTCTCTCAGAACAGTGTTTGAGAGATGATTGTGTTTCGTGGACTTGTAGAATGACATCGTTCGATAGTCATCACTTGATCTTTTGAAGTGTTACCATCTCTCATTGTCTTGATACCATGTTCAAGAGTCATATCGAGTTACGGTACATCCTCGATTAGCATCATTCCATTTCATCGTTTTTCTCACATCAGACATCTCTGTTTTTCAATATGTAAAAAGAATTCTTCGATATAAGAATGATCTTACCGAAGATATCGGAAGACCATTATTTTGTCGATGAATCGATCCATGTTCCAGCAACTCAGTTCTGTTGGTTGTTAAGAACACCCTCAATCCCCAAAATTGCCATGCGATGAGAAACTTGTACTTGAACTTTGTCCATCAAATCACCTTACCTCGAAATATCCTTTTTTGTCAAAATATCTTTGGCTACCACACACAGAGTTCTGGTACAATTCATCTCCAATCATGTTTCATTTATTCGGTACTGATTACCAACATCTTTGTTGTCTCAACCTCAGAGGGCATCATAAAGTTTTGGTAGGAGTATCAAATGAATTTGACAATAACATCGCTCTCATTTGTTTTCTCATTTCTGTGGTACCTCTCACAGTATCTCTGTTGTCTCAACCTGTTGAGATATTCTAGAGGCTTAGTTGTCGTGTCATATAAAGTTGATAACAAATATGTTTTATCCATTTGTCAATTTCTTTGGATCTACTTCTGAACTTCCTCATTTTCTCTTCGGGTTAGAAACTCGAAGATGCTCTAAGAATGATCTGACGATCTCGAAAATGCGATCAATTTATAATATATTGTAATTTTGCGCAGAAGCATTTCAGCTTCTGCATTTTTCTGTACTAAGAGAAAAGTTAAAAGCCTGAAGGTGCTTTGCGATGAAATTACATTTTCGAAAACTTTGTTGCACTTCGTAGGTCTACTTGACTACATTCAAGCTTCTTAGATTATCTTTCCAAGAGAGATAATCCAGGAAGTCAAGAGGTCTCTACGATGAAGTTTCGTTTTGGTACGTTTGGTAGTTTAGAGTAAGTTTACTCGATCATGTTCAATTCCCCTTTATGGGAGGATTATTGAAAAGGTGACTATATCTTACGCGAAACATTATCATCGCGAGATTCTCGATACATAGGTCATGTCATCGCAACTCTGCAAAATCATTTTTGGTTATCGATTTCATTGTAGTATCCAAAAGTTTGAGTGTCCTACACGACGAATGCTCAATCAGCATTGCTCTCTTTCTTCTCGGATTTACCGTTACGACTTACAGATATCTCAATTATCCCGTTTCTCAGAGAATGGTTAATTGAGAAAGACTGTTTTACGATAAAACCTCTAAAGCTTGGAGTTGATTCCTTATTACCTCTGCAGCGATTTCTCATTTTCTATTATTTTTGATGTTGCCTTTGGTTTGATTTCTATACTGGGGCGTAATTATGAGGCGAATTCATTCTGTTCATAGCAAAAACTAACCTTTATGCTTCTAGATCTCATAATGGTCGCTCGGTCTTCTGGTCCGCTCCAGGGCTGGGATCTGGATGATCCCGAACAATGCAGATCACTGGTCGTGGCTCTTGAATTTGCTATTATGGGCGTACCGAATAGAAATTCCTCTGTCTTCCGACAATTAAATGATCATCAATATACTAGCTTGGAGAGATTGGCACATGAGATCCAGCGCAGCACTGACGCCAGAGAACTCGTTACGGGGTTTCTTACATTTGAACAAAACAGAAATCGGAACAATGCTCAATTGGTCAATGCTGCCTACATTATGAACGACAATCTCATTGAGTACAATCGTAGTATTCAGCATCAGCCCGGACTTGCAGCAACTTCCGCAGCCCGTCTTCCTGCTCGCCACTCGCTTCCGCCCCGCCCAACGCCAAAGGAAGTAAGTCCTCCCCTGTTTCCTCCCATTATTTCTCATTTTCACAGAAAGACGCTAATTCCACTTCTAAGAAGGACTATGAGGATGAATCCGACCAGGATGCAGATATCCCAAACACCAATCTGTATCGCCCACTTGGTGCCCAGCGGAGTCCACAGGAGACCGCAGTTGGTGGCTTTGTTGTTTCCAATATGGCTACATCACCACAAGAATCAATTCCTGCTGCTACCAGAGGTAACCTTGGTGGTCCTGGGGTTAATCCGCTACGAGAGGGTAGCGGTGCCCAGGACCTTGGTCCTCGCCATCTTCTCCCCCGTATTTCTGCAATTCCTCCCAACGGAATTTCTTTTGCGCAAACTTCTGTCGTTCCGGGGGCTCAAGTTCTTTCTACTCCGCTCAATCGTGAGCGTTTTGGTAGACCTGCCCCGCAGAGCGACTCTGGTCGGATGGGAAATCGGTCTCGTCCTCGACCAATTGCTCCGCGCCCGGGTCCTGCTCCCCTTGTTGGTGGTTTACGCGCAAATCCTCGTCAGGCTAGAAAGAGTGCAGCGGAGGATGACTACGAAGACGAGGATGAGTATGATGACGAACCCTCTATGAACGATCATGCATCGAGTCTCTCGATGAAGGTACTTTTTCCTCTCATTTTTATCCTAAAACAAGTTTCTTTTGTTCAATGACTGACCCACACCTGCAGAAGAAGGCCGGAGACAAGGCCAAGCACAAGCCGCGGAAGAGAAGAGGCGCTGAACCTCTTGACGAAGACCTTGACAAGACGAACGCCGTACTTCATCAGCCGGATCCCACCAAACTCAAGCTTCATTTCCGTACCAGACACACCAACAAGAGAACTGGAGAGGTGACTGATGACCTTGTAAAAAACAAGTATCGCCACAAGGTGGATTGGAACTCCCGCGAAGACATCAAGAAGCTCAACGCATGGCGCAGTCAAATCCTCTCTCGCAACTTCCGTATCTCAAAGAAGAAGCGTGAGTACTGGCTGGTTTCTGAGCAAGCTAATGTCATGAACTTGATTTATGAACAACTTCAATCTCGTCCTACTCTTCGTTGGGCAAAACTCGCCAATGACTACAACCATCAATTTCACGAGACAATTCAGCCAGCCGGGAGCCGACTTTTGAATACTGCAAAGCGTGTTCACAATACAATTTCACAGGATCGACAAACTCCATGGCGAACACGAGCCTCGATTGAGCATGCTGCCTGGAAGTGGCCACAGTACCAGACGGTGGTCGCCAAATCGAAGGCCCGTCAGGGTGCACAAGCTGGAACTGATGATGATGCTAACGCATCTTCCGATGGTAATGAAACCGATACCTGGAGCGACGATGAATCCGAGTTACCAGATCCGTCCCCAAAGCAGGTTGCTACTCCAAAGAGTGGCCCCAATACCAAGCCAACTGGCTCCAGCACAAAGCCCACATCGGGGAATAAGCGAAAGAAGCCTCCGGGACGTCCCATGAAGAAGCCCATTGATTACAACCAACCCAAGAGCACATCAACAGTGTCCGATGAATCAAGCTCCGAATACGACACCGATTGTGATGAAACCACTGAGGATGATGACCCCGTTGATGACGAGCCTGCACCCAAGCGACAAAAGGCCAGTCCCAATACACCTGCAAAGGCTGCTCCCAAAGCTGCTTCCAAGGCTACTCCAAAGGCTACTCCCCAAACTACACCCAAGGCGGCTCCCAAATCTACTCCTAAGGGCAATCCCAAGGGCAATCCCAAGGGCGGAAAGAAGGGTGGGAAAGACGATAACGACGGACCAACCTTCCCAGGTTTGAGCAAAAAGCCAGCTCCATGAGTTCTTCCTTAGAGCTTGGTTGTTTTTCATGACAAATAATAGTTCATGCATATACATGAACTCGTTTGGCACTGAATTCTTTTATTTTTCCCTTTTCTTTTTTTGTTTCTCCCTCACGATCGTTGATGAGTCCCAGATCTCTGTGTCTGGGTGCATTATTGGAATTGGGTCACTTTCCTCTCCGGCTTTGGCCTCTGCCCTTTTCCTCTCGATCTTATTTGGGATACCTCTTACATGTACCACGCATACTCGGCATTAGCAGGCGTTTGTCCTTCGCATTGTAGCTGGCGTTGGCGTTTTTCCTTGGGCCGTTGCACAAAAAAGTTTTTCCTTGCTTTTCTTTTTTCGTGGCGGTTACTTTGCGATGGTTTTGTTTTTTTCCTCGGGTGCCTTTTGCCGCCTCGTTATTGCTTGCTTTCGATTCGGCTTTTTCTTTCTTTTCCTTGCTTTTACTTGATGGTGGCTGGCGCAGTAATAAACTCGGGGGCGATAAATTGTACGATAGGTAGTTATTTCACCCAGAAAATACAAAAAAATTATATAATTCGTGAGTTCCTCGTGCGTGATGTGGTCAAAAATATTGCGATAGCTTCATTTTTGGTCAACCGACGTCACGTGTCGTATAGCAAGGGGAGTGGAATCGCGCGACCGTCCTCGACAAGCTACAAAGTCTCAAGTCTGGTGAACAACGATTCCAAGGTCAGTCAAGCTCCCTTTTCTGTGAGATCTGATGATTTGATGGTGGGAATGCCGAATATGTGAGACCACGAGATGCAAAACCTGGACCCGGTGGACAAAACATCATGAAATGGGGTGGAGATACTCTCCCACGGTAATATTCTGGGTATTGGAGTGGGTTGAAGGTGCTAATCAATAACTAATAGTGAGTTTAGGGCACGAAAGATAAAACCACAACGTAAAGGCTACCACCACCTCCTCCGCGAGAATTTCAAGTCAACATGGCTCGAAACATTTACCCTGCAATCTATCATCTACTGCCCTTGATAAATCTTGGAACAATACTCTACTAGAAAAAGTGTCTACCAAATCCTTCTCCACACCATGAAAGACACCGACGGCATCTGAATATTTATCACCAGTCCTCCCACCACCACCCAACAATATTCAGCAACTACCCACATGAGCCCATGAATCCAGCCAAACCGCACTCCAATCTAACTACTAACTACTCTTCGAACCTTTCAGTCAACACCATCATACATCATCCATCTCCTTCTCCCAGATTCGAACTCAAAGGTCGGCAAGTACGACCGACTCCCAGGATCACGTCCAATGGAACGTATCATGGGACGGACTATCCTCAACACAAAATAACCCCTTCGCATATTGCGCCGATACAGGAATCAGATTCATAGTCTCCTCCTCATTCTATCAATATTTTTGAAGGCTTTGCCAGTACAGCACAGATCGAGAGAAAGAGGCCGTGTATTGAACTACTTGCTCGATACTTCGAATCCGTCTTGTATCTTCCATCTCCCATTCATGGATATATTTCTCATAGTCAGCTAAAAGCTCGTTCAGCAGGCCGAGAGAAGTCCGCCGACAAGTAGGAATGAGAAAGGACCAGAGCGTGAGAAGTATGGAGTAGTTGAGTATCTCTGGAGAACAATTTACATCCTTGGGTTGCTAGCAACTCGATATCATCAAGCTAAACCTGAAAAACAAAGCTCCATCGATCCACAAATCAGAGGCCACTTCAAAATCCTCCCCTTCAAGCCAACAATGCAAAACAACCCAACGATCAGTTCATCTCCATCCCCATTTCCACCCCCTCCACCACTCCCTTAATACCGATTCGCTCCTCCAACCCAACCATAAACCCCCAACAGCACACCCGACATCCACACCCTCTCATATCATCCAAATCACCAGCATCCCCTAGATTTCTTAAATCTAACCCAGCACTCTTTCACATAAGTACGAACTATTCAAACTCCCCACCTATCACCAGCGATTGGCAAGCGGAATGTATTCCATGGGATATACCCACGGAATAGAATAATTCCAGGGATTCTTCAAACAGAACGGAAGTATTACAGGAGGGGGGCTTGGAATAGAATGGAATTCCAGGTGCCGAACGCTGCCTACCACATAGCCTATTAGCCACTTACCACATCTTCCCCATCTCCCCCATCTCCTCTTTTCCTCCCCACATCACTCAACCTCATCCCATCATGCCATCATGCCTTCATTCCTTCATTCCTTCATCCCTTCATCCAATCCGCCTATACGTCCCACCCCCATTTCTCCTCACAATCCCAGACGCAATTCCATTACCTTATCCCACATCAAACAACATCAAGCGTCCGTGTCGGTTCCGTATATACGTATGTCTAATAAGTACCTCCTCCCCAAATAAGTACAAGTACAAGCATAAATCCCAAATCCCAAGCCCACAAATCTTCCTTGTAACTCAAGACATCCATCCATCCTCAAATTCAAATACCAGGAACACATACACAAAAAAAAGGAACAGCTTAAAGAAGCACAAGTGACAAGAAGCTAACATCCGCTTAGGGACTCGAGATCAGAGGACAAAACAGAATAACGAAACGATCAAAATAGAGAATGGGAAAGGGGATTTATAAGACTCTCGCGAGAGTATGAAGTATATCAAGAAGTATCGGTATTCGTAAGATTACAGTAAAACCACCACAATCCCACGATTTCAAAACTTAAAGTCTGCCTCTAATCCCCCATAAGCAACAACATAAACGCCAAGTAAGACCAAGTCCGTGACATCTGAATCTACTCGGGTACTGTAACACAAAATAAACTCCTACCCCCCTTCCCAAATTGTGTGCATCGTAATCTTACCCCAAAGCCTATCCCACACCTCCGATACAGTAATGTGAATATTCCAGAATCCAGTCTGGTCCTGCAACGCATCCATGTCTTACACGCCAATAAAATCCAAAAGGAATCTCCTCCTGTTTTCCCACAACAAAGGAATTCATCTAGACTACTCGAGTATAAGGGTAACAAACTCTAATACATATAATATACGAAGAACAGAATACAATACATAACATCATAACATCATCATATTAAATCTTACTAAAAGTAAACTTGTGTAAAAGCCCATCCACCCACCCTCCTATATGCTTCTTCTTCTTCTTTCCTTCTTTCCCCCCTCTCTCGCTCTCCCTTCCTTCCCACGAAAAAAAATGTCAAATTGATATCCCAAAAACCCACAAGCCACCTAGCTATCAACACAACATCCGTATCTACAAGCCACAATCCACTCAGAAAAGAACAAAGAAGAAAAAATCAAAAAACCTATATACCTCTCCTCACACCCTACCCCTCACTCTCCC